GTGTGTGTATGTGCCTGTATATGCACATCTACTTCATTAATCTCTGTACACAAAGGATTGGCAACATCTGGTTTTGACAGCTTTTTTCCCCTATTATTTTCTGCTCCCTCCCTTAGTCCTCTTTGTTTCTTCATTTCCAAAGCACACCCTATTTTTGTGTGTGTGTGTAAAATCCTGTTCTTTAATCACTCCTGCTTTTCAGTTTAGCTCAAAAATACGTTCTCATTCAAAGTGGAGAAGTTAAGCTGAAATCAGAAAAGCTTGTTTTCCTCCTTTCTTGCATGACTAAAAATAAGGTGCCAGTTCTGCCACATGAAGTGTGTCATGATGGGAGCTGACAAGTCTGATTTGATAGCTGCAATTATTATTATTTGTTCACTAATGCCATTTTAAATAGAAAACAATTTTTGGGAGGGGGAAAACTCCATCTAACACAGCTGAGAGAGTTCAGATTCCAACTTGCTTAATGTTTCTTAAAAAACACTGGTTTGCATCTTTAATGCAATTCTGTATGCAGATGAATCTGCTCAGTATTCCCGAGTGTAACAGTGAAAAACTCCTGGAGGGAACATGTGCTGGGTGGGCCAAAGGCACTGGAAATCCTGTGTGCTCCCAGTCACTTGTTGGGAATTGGGAGTGGAAAATCCAGTGCCAGCCCTGGACAAACCCCTCTGTTCTCTGTGTGTTTGAGGGGAGCGTGAGGGACATCACAGGGAATTGGCTCAGCCTCCTGCTCCTGGTTTTAAATTGGGGTTCAGAGTGATTAAATCCTGTCTCTGCCCCAGTCCCATCTCTGCCTCAGTCCTATCTCTGCCCCAATCCCACCAATCCCATCTCTGCCCCAGTCCCATCACTGCCCCAGTCCCATGTTCCCATCACTGCCCCAGTCCCATGTTCCCATCACTGCCCCAATCCCATGTTCCCATCACTGCCCCAATCCCGCTGTTCCCATCACTGCCCCAATCCCAATCCCCTCACTGCCCCAATCCCATGTTCCCATCACTGCCCCAATCCCAATCCCATCACTGCCCCAATCCCACTGTTCCCATCTCTGCCCCAATCCCAGTCCCCTCACTGCCCCAATCCCATGTTCCCATCACTGCCCCAATCCCATGTTCCCATCTCTGCCCCAATCCCAATCCCATCACTGCCCCAATCCCATGTTCCCATCACTGCCCCAATCCCATGTTCCCATCACTGCCCCAATCCCAGTCCCAGCACTGCCCCAATCCCATGTTCCCATCACTGCCCCAATCCCATGTTCCC